CTCTATAAATGCCCTTTGCCTCCCAGCTCTTTCCTCTATTTCCCTTGATTCTCCTCCTGTCCCACTTTCATGCTCAGTCCCCACCAGGAGTAAAGCTCTTTTAACAGAGCTTGCCCCACAGGAAAACACCATGCGAGGACTAGTGGGGGCATGGATGGCATGCTATGTCCAAGGTTGCATAGCAGGGCAGCTGCAGGCCCAGAAGTGAAGCCCGAGCTTGGCCAGAGTAGTATTTCCTGCTAGGCCAACCTTCCTCCTTCACTTACCTGAGCAGTTCTTTGTGCATGAAGACTCAATAGAAGGCGAGGTCATCGTGACACATAATGAGCCCCACTTTTGAAGTATAAGTCTTGTACCTCCCTCACTGCTGTCGAGTCCGTGCCAGCTCATAGCGGCCCTATAGGACAGGGCCGGACTGCCAAAAGGTTGTCACACTTTTCAGGAGTAAAGAGCCTCATCTTTGTCGTGAGGAGGCCCTGGTGGTTTGGAACTACTGACGTTGCGGTTAGTAGCCCAGTGGCAGCCTACCACACCCTCAGGGCTCCTCAAATCTTACACCAAACACCCTGAATCACCCAGGTTTCCTGCATAACTTGGTTCTCTGTACAACCGTGCCATTCCAGACAGAAGGGTGTTGGGACGGATGTTGGGAAGATGAGGGTGCAGGAAGAAAGATGCTTGAAAACCAGCCCCTCAGAATGTAGTCATTGCTCCTGCTGCCCACATGCTTGGGCTGGAGAGGACATGTGGAGGAGGCGGCCTCTGGGTCCTCAATTCCGGAAGTGGAAGGGCAGGGTGCACGAAGGGAAGGGATAAAGAAAGCTGACATCGCTGGCGTGACTCCACCAGACCGGCACGTTTCTAGCCACCCCTCTTGAAGAAGTGTTTGAAGTGCCTCTATCTGTCCATTTTAACTAAGCTAATTAAAACAAAAAACAACAGCACGGGCTCTCTCTGCTGTGCCTTTCCTGTGAACCTCTGTGAGTTTAAGGGGTACAATACATGGGGGAAATCCTATCAGCCCAGGCCCCATCCCTCCCAGAGCCCAAGAGGCAGATGCAGAAGCACCTGCAAGAATGTCGCTCTGTCACACGGGCTGCACTCAGGCCCTTCCCCGTGTGTTTTGTTAGCGAGAGCATGCCCGCTGGGCCCCTGCTGCCCGGGTTGGGTCGGGTTGGCAGCCTGTTTCGTTGCACCTCTGACTGGAGCGGAGCCGCAGTGAGGGGAGGGCTGTTCCTCATTACCAGGGAATGTGAGTCATTCCAACTGGTGTGATTGGGATTCCAAAGCATTGCTGTATCCGATGGACTTATTAAATCCAAGTGCCATGCAGCCTTTCAGACTGTAGGGGAGAGCTCAGTTACAGCTGGTGACCTGGTTCTCGTTACCGCACAGAGACCCTGGCACAGAGCAGTGACCCCCTCAGAGTACCCAGAATTCCCATGGCCGGCTCTGCTCAGCTGCTCTCCACTTTGGGGAGGAGGGTTCCCGCTTCCTTTCACAGGCCCCAGTCTGCTTGAGTTCCTTGTGCATTTTAGGGGAGCAGGTTGAAGTGTTTGTTGACAGGCTCATGCCAAGATGAGCCCAGCGTCTGGAGGGGACCTGGGCTCGGATCACCTCGGCTCCAGCCGTGTCATGGCGCCGAGTGGAGTTCGGGACACTACCCCTTCTCAGCTTGGCCCAAAGAGGACGTCAGTCAGAGAGGGGAGGAGACGACCGAAGTTGCTGGCAATGAGTTTTCTCTGTCCTTTCTCTCTTCTAGAGTGTTTCACGGCCAATGGTGCGGACTACAGGGGAATGCAGAACTGGACCTCCCTGCCGGGCGGGAAGCCATGCCTGTTCTGGAACGAGACTTTCCAGCACCCGTACAACACTCTGAAGTACCCCAATGGGGAGGGGGGCTTGGGTGAGCACAACTATTGCAGGTGAGAAGTGCGACTCGGAACTGTCAGACGTCTCCGGTCTCTGCTTTCAGTTCCTTACAACCTGCTCCCACGTAGGAAAAACTCTTTGGTGCCCTTGGGCCTCTTTGGGCCCCAAAGCCTTTCCTGTCACTGTTTGAAAAATCTTTCTTCTACACCTTACACACACACACACACACACACACACACACTGAGCAAGACAGAGAGAGAGAGCACTTCCTGAGCTGCTATGAATGTGGTAGGCAAACGGCACCATCTGTGACCTAAGCCTCCCTCTGCTTCTGGGAAAGGGCACTGCCCCCTCTCCCCACTGCCTGCCAGCCCAGCGTGTCCGTCAGATTTGTGTCCTTCTTCTCAGGAGACTACGGGGTCCCTTTGCTTATCACCTCCTGCCTGACCCCAGCAGGGGCCGAGCATGCATAAAATGTCAGGCGCATGATAGCCCACGGTTCCCATCAGGCTCTCACTGTCACCGTATTGGAAAGCAAGTGGAGAGTCCCTGGTCTGCGAGGACAGAGCGATGATTCAAAGTGTGTTTGGTGATAGCTACGTTTCCCCTATGTATGCCCAGGACCCTGACTGCGTGGCGCATGGCTCAACAATGTGTGGGCTTTAATGGTGAGGACAGGTGCAAAGGCAACATCGGAGCCGCCAGGGCAGTGATGGTGCCACCCTGCGTTCCATCCTGGGGCCGCTGGCTTTGCCCACCTCTCAGAATCACACCCAGAGCGCTGTTGACCCAGCTGAGCCCACAGACATGAGTTGTTCGGGCCACACTGTTTGCCTCCTGTGTGCCAACACTCCAGGGTCCTTGAGCCTGTCTGGAAAAATACCAGACCCCGCACCCACTACTGCCTTCAGCCCTTTCTTTCTCTTTCTCCTCTGCCACAACTTGCATGTCCTCACAGCTGCTGCTGCTGTTGATGCAGTGCTGTATATACTCAAGTATAAGCCAACCCGAAAATCAGCTGAAGCTCCTAATTTTACCACAAAAACTACATTACAAATGTGCTGAAAAGCTCAGCTTACACACGAGTATATACGGTAGTTAAAGCCCCTTGTTTTACCTCTACCCTTCAAGCTGCCTCCTGCCCCACAACTTCCACTTTTTTTCCATAGGTTGGTATATGTCTACTTGGCATTTTATGATATTCTGTATTTTATGACTGAGATCGCCCCTGCTCACTCACTCCTTCTTTTGTACTTTACTGTCGAGGGTGTGCATGTTCACTGGAAGTGTTCAGCATGACTCGGAGCCGTGGGCTCACGCATAAGAACGACTGGCAGCATGGTGCTGGACGAGGGCTCCTTCCTTCTGTTGTACCTGGGTCCCCAGGAGTTGGGTGACAGCAGAATATTGACCCATTTCCTTCCTGGTGTTTCCTCCTGCACACACCCCACTTTGGGGGTTGGGAAGAGAAACGGGTGCTTGCTTTTGGGGGTCTAAGTTGTCTCTTAGCAGGTAGGTGTATCCCAGCCCTTTCACTTTGTATCAAGCGAGTCTTTTCAGAAGCATTTCTGTCTTTCAGTCTGGCTTTAAGATAAATGTGACATCTCCAATGAGGTTTAACTTACACGAAAGGGGAAAAGACACAATTCTTATTTCTTAGCACTAAGTTGTACCTGTAGGTTTCCAGAAACCCTCCAATCAGCTAGCCACTGAGCGCAGTGAGACTCAGGGACCCACGGGCCACCGCTTTCCTCCTCAGCCTTGGCCCTCTGCAGCTTGCGCTGCGGGTGCTTTGATGGAATGCTCCAGACCTGTACTACCGGTTTATGCTGAAATTGTCGATTATTATCACATTAGAGAGCTGGCAGTCTTTGGTGGTGGCCTGCAGGGAGGGCAAAGATGAGTGAACTTGCTCTTTCTGAAACTGTTCTGATGCCTGTCTGCGCCCCAATAACAAACAGTTACTTTCCAAGGGCTTTAGCCAAGAGCCCATTGGAGCGGAGCAAAGAGTAGAGCAGAAAGCGACAGTGCGTTGCTGCGATGTGGTTGAAAGAAGGGCTCTGTCCTCAGACTTCACTCTCCCAACCGCCACCTGACACCAGTGTTTGTCTTGTGCCCACCCATCAGGCCCATCCCAGCTGAGATGTCTGAGAGATGGCGAGAGTGGGGGACGCCCTCTCCGGATTTGAGGGGGAGGGCAGAGACAGGAACAAGTGGGGCTGGCCCTGGCACCTGCCTTTGGGCAAGGGGAGGGAAGAAAGGGCCCTCTGTGCTCAGGGAGGCTTATCTTGTAGACCACACAATAGGCCGGCCCCTCTCAGGCCTGACAGGGGCTGCTGGCCCTTTATGCCCGTTTCCGGCCTCACCGGATTGTCAGGTTTCCTGGGGTTCTGGGTCAGAATAAAGAGAGCGTGGAAAGCAGTGAGGGGCGGGGGCCATTCTGTGGACTCAGTCGGCCCTCACAGGGTGGCCCCTCTTCGGGAACTGAAAGGCGGCCCCTCTTCCGGAACTGAAAGGCTTCCAAGGGCTTTGATCCCAAGCCATTATCGCAGAGAAAGGTGAAATCGATCTGTTTACAATGCTGCCAAGGCAGGATCAGACATGGGTGAGGACTACCAGAGTCAGAGGTTCCCACTGCACCCGGCCAGAGGGCTGAGGTTTCTGTCACACCCGAGGTGACCAGGTCAGTCTCGGGGAAGAGATAGTTGGAGTCTCTCGCATGAATTTTATCTTATTGCTTAAAGTAAACCCTTAAAAAGTATACAACTGGGTACATTATAGAAGAAAGACAAATCTCCGATAGTCCCATCATCTAGAGATAAAAAGCGCTGCAGTATTTAACATGAAAGATAAATGGGATTGTGTTACCCATGGTCTTTATAACTGCATTTTTCAGAAGCTTTTTGGACATTGTGGTAGGTTAGGCATTGGGCTACTAAACACAAGGTCAGTAGTTCGAAACCACCAGCCACTCCATGGGAGAAAGGTGGAGACTTTCTACTCCCAGAAAGAGTTTCAGCTTCAAATACCCACAGGGCAGTTCTACCCTGTCCTGTCGGGTCGCTGTGCGTCAGAATCGACTCAATGGCAGTGAGTTTGATTTGTTGTTGTTCCAACTTTTTTTTTCTGAAACAGATCACTTTAATTTTGTGCACAAATGCTTCCTTTACATCATCAGGTGCAAATACAAAAATGCTTTCCACTTGGTTGTACTTTTTTTTTTAGTAGAAAAATTTTTAAAAATTATTTTTTATTTTATTGGGGGCTCTTACAGGTCTTATC